GGGAATTGTGGGAGTGGTGGAGGATTGTGGGAGTGGTGGAGGATTGTGGGAGTAGTGGAGGGTTGTGGGAGTGGTGGGGGATCGAACGAAAGGTGGAAGGTTGGTGGATTTTGTGGGTGGGGAATTTTGAGAATGATGGAAGCAATTTTGAGAGAAGTGGGTGGATTGTAGTGACTAATCCAGACCCACAAATCCACATCCAGGGTCACCTAGACCCACATATCCACACCCAGGGTCACCTAGACCCACATATCCACACCCAGGGCCAACTAGATCCACATATCCACACCCAGGGTCACCTAGACCCACATATCCACACCCAGGGCCAACTAGATCCACATATCCACACCCAGGGTCACCTAGACCCACAAATCCACATCCAGGGTCACCTAGACCCACATATCCACACCCAGGGCCAACTAGATCCACATATCCACAAAGAATCCATCTCATGGTGGGCGGCACAGGGCCATCCTGACCACCAGGAGAGTGTGAATAATAATACCAAATAGCAAGGAATAATGCTTTAAAATAATATATATATGTTTACGGGACATGTTGGAGAGTTGACTCTGCTCCAGAGAAGGGATGCTACCAATATTTAGTCTGAACATATGCTGAAGAACGGACGCGTTTGGGCTTTTTATTTGATCTTTTGGCCTTTTAAGGAGTACACATTTCCCAGGTTGGCTCGAAATGCTGTGGGTATTAGTGGCCTTAGGCATTGTATGTACTTGCTCTATATAGAAATCCAAAAATATGTTTGTAACTCATCTTGTATATATATGTACTTTTAGCTGGATAAACATTTGATTTATTGCAATGTTTATATAAACTTGTTTTGCATTTATTTATTTATATTTTTTTTCGAGTCTGTTTTTCTATTTGTCATTAAATTTTAAATCTACTTTTTCACGTTATGTGAGCTTTTAAATCTACTTTTCGTGTTATGTAAAGTTTTAATTTGTATTCTTCCATGTTACAGAAAATCTTAATTTTTCATTCATATTTACAAAAACAACAAGCAACATGATTCACTCACACTCATCATATTCAACCACCATGTGTCACACTCATCATATTCAACCACCATGTGTCACACTCACACTCATCATATTCAACCACCATGTGTCACATTCATCATATCCAAACACAGAAAAAGCACTATATCCAACTCATATTCATCAAAAATCCTCACTATACCCCACCAATATACTCATCATACTCGAGCATACCACAGGCTCCTCGACACAGCATATCTAGAGAACCTCAGAGTCAAATAAAATCACAGGACACTGTGATTGAGCAGATCCTTGATATAACGTAATCTCTATGTCGTATTTACGTCGCTACAACGTATCGTAAAATATATTCCCCCTGCTAACGTTGCCTGAATGTTGGGAGTCAACCAATGGTACACATTGGAACAGAAGTTAAGTTCTTAACTCTCTTAAGGGCACGTAATTTCTACGTCGCGTCTACGTTGCTACAACGTATCGTAAAACATCGTTCCTGCTAACGTTGCCTGAATGTTGGGAGCCGACCAATGGTACACATTGGAACAGAAGTCAAGTTCTTAACTCTCTTAAGGGCACGTAATTTCTACGTCGCGTCTACGTTGCTACAACGTATCGTAAAACATCGTTCCTGCTAACGTTGCCTGAATGTTGGGAGCCGACCAATGGTACACATTGGAACAGAAGTCAAGTTCTTAACACTCTTAAGGGCGTGTATTTGATCTACCAAATTCGTTCACTGGCCCCAAAAAAATATTTGTTGGGATACTTTCCTGCTGCCCCAGAATCACTGAACCAATAGATACAGATTCAGCATTTGGTCCAGATTCGGTTAAGCACCGTGACATAGATTTAGTAAAGCAGCTGGAACCGAATCAGTTCCTCTGATAAATCCTCGAGAACCTAATCAGTAAAGCCTTTAGGATAAATTCAGTAAAACGGGAATATATACGGACGTGTCTGTGTCCACCATGCTGGTACGGGCGTGTCTGTGTGTCCCCCATGCTGGTACGGGCGTGTCTGTGTGTCCACCATGCTGGTACGGGCGTGTCTGTGTGTCCCCCATGCTGGTACGGGCGTGTCTGTGTGTCCACCATGCTGGTACGGGCGTGTCTGTGTGTCCCCCATGCTGGTACGGGCGTGTCTGTGTGTCCACCATGCTGGTACGGGCGTGTCTGTGTGTCCACCATGCTGCTACGGGCGTGTCTGTGTGTCCACCATGCTGCTACGGGCGTGTCTGTGTGTCCACCATGCTGCTACGGGCGTGTCTGTGTGTCCACCATGCTGCTACGGGCGTGTCTGTGTGTCCACCATGCTGCTACGGGCGTGTCTGTGCGTCATAAGGTAAATGAAAACAAAAGAGAATCTATGTCTTACGACGTTATAAACGCCAGGAGTCACACGACCAAACCATAACAGAGGGTCTCCGTAGCACAGTGAAGCTCTTTCTCAACTCGCAATCAAGAATCCCGGACGGAACAGAGATGCTTTGGCACGTTTCCTGTTCAGGCTGCCTGTCCCCGACAAAATTAAATATTTAGGAGGGATAAACTGGCTCCGAGGACTGTAAAAAAGAACATTAGCTCTGTATGACTCTCTTATTTCATCGTAGTTCCCTCTTCAGCTCACAAACGATAAGGACTCCGTCTATGACTCAAGATGTCGTGTCATCCTCTGTCGACGACAAAAAAGTAACTTTGCAGTTGTTTAAGCAAAAAAACACTGGAAAAAAACAGCTAGAACACGTGGTGATGATGTTTGGGTCCATTGTTTTTCTCCTGATGAGTCTGTTCACCCGGCATTGAATTGGTACGTGTGGGTTAGTCAATTTGTGTTTGGGTGGCATTAGTGCTTTTGTTGAGTTTATTTGTGTTGATGTTAGGATGGAGTCTTGTACTTGTTTTACTTGCTTTAGTTGTTGTCCTTGTTTCTCTACAGCCCTGTTGTTTGTAAGTTGTTTTTCACCTCTTGTTTGTTTGTTTGTGCAGGCTTATTTTTCTTGTTACTCTTGACGGACGTTGGCTTTTCTTTCCTGCATTTTATTTGTTATTTTTATTGAATTTTGCCTCTTATGTTTTTATCTTCCTATTGTTTGTTCCTTGTTCCTTTTGTTCATCTTTATTTGTTCTCACATATTTCATTTTATTTTTCCCTTCCTCGTCTGTTTCCTTGTTTCCTTGTTCCTCTTCTGTTTGTATCAAGTTTGCTCAATTCTTTATTAACTGTATATTTATTTCTAATGTTTAGACACATTATCTCTTTATTTTTATTATTATTCTCCTTTCTCACGTTCCTCTCCATTCCTTCTCTTTCAGGTTTTGTTTCATGTTCCGTTATTTATTGGCAGTCTCCTATCACCCCTACCCCATCCCCCCTTAACACTACCCCTCCTTTCCCCTACCCCTCACTATCCTCCTACTCCTGGACTAGCCTGGGTCGACCTTGAAGGCGCTCACGACCCGGTTTCAGGGTGCCCCGAGGTGCCCCAGAGCTCTATGATTCACCCACCGTACCCGCAAAGAGGGATGGGGGGGGTCGCTGTGGGTAATTGGTGGGTAATGGGGCAGCCCTAAGTGGGTACAGGTCAGTGGGTATCTCCACCTGACGAGCGTGAGTTAGTCTGCGAGTTACAACCACATAGAAGTGGTGCTGTTGTGGAATTTGAAGCTAATGTTGGGCATGTTTAGGGTTTTGTAGCCAGGCTTACGTCAGTAGAAGAGTTTGAAGTGAAGTCTAGGCCAGTTAGCAGGCTTTGAAGCCATGCCCATGCCCGTACCAGCCTGGGTACGAAAGAAATGCCCCATGGGCATGGTTATTGTCACATAATGCCAGCTATACCCCAAAGGCCTTAAGCGTCGAAGAAAAAGTCGTCTGTACTTTCCGCCTCGGGGTTTTGTCTTTAGCCTCTGAGACGGCAATGTTGTTGTTGCTGGTCACAGTTCCTGTGGACAGAATGTCACCCACGCTCCTGTGGACAGAATGTCACCCACGCTCCTGTGGACAGAATGTCACCCACGCTCCTAGTCCCTGTGGACAGAATGTCACCCCACGCCCCTAGCCCTGTGGATAGAATGTCACCCCACGCCCCTAGCCCTGTGGATAGAATGTCACCCCACGCCCCTAGCCCTGTGGATAGAATGTCAACCCACGCCCCTAGCCCTGTGGATAGAATGTCACCCACGCTCCTGTGGACAGAATGTCACCCACGCTCCTAGTCCCTGTGGATAGAATGTCACCCCACGCCCCTAGCCCTGTGGATAGAATGTCACCCACGCTCCTGTGGACAGAATGTCACCCACGCTCCTAGTCCCTGTGGATAGAATGTCACCCCACGCCCCTAGCCCTGTGGACAGAATGTCACCCACGCTCCTGTGGACAGAATGTCACCCACGCTCCTGTGGACAGAATGTCACCCACGCTCCTAGTCCCTGTGGATAGAGTGACAACCCAAGCCCCAAGCCCTGTGGATAGAATGTCACCCACGCTCCTGTGGACAGAATGTCACCCACGCTCCTAGTCCCTGTGGATAGAATGTCACCCCACGCCCCTAGCCCTGTGGATAGAATGTCACCCACGCTCCTGTGGACAGAATGTCACCCACGCTCCTAGTCCCTGTGGATAGAATGTCACCCCACGCCCCTAGCCCTGTGGACAGAATGTCACCCACGCTCCTGTGGACAGAATGTCACCCACGCTCCTGTGGACAGAATGTCACCCACGCTCCTAGTCCCTGTGGATAGAATGTCACCCCACGCCCCTAGCCCTGTGGATAGAATGTCACCCACGCTCCTGTGGACAGAATGTCACCCACGCTCCTAGTCCCTGTGGATAGAATGTCACCCCACGCCCCTAGCCCTGTGGACAGAATGTCACCCACGCTCCTGTGGACAGAATGTCACCCACGCTCCTGTGGACAGAATGTCACCCACGCTCCTAGTCCCTGTGGATAGAATGTCACCCCACGCCCCTAGCTCTGTGGACAGAATGTCACCCCACGCCCCTAGCTTTGTGGACAGAATGTCACCCCACGCCCCTAGCCATGTGACCAGAATGTCACCCCACGCCCCTAGCCCTGTGACCAGAATGTCACCCCACGCCCCTAGCCCTGTGGATAGAATGTCACCCCACGCCCCTAGCCCTGTGGATAGAATGTCACCCCACGCCCCTAGCCCTGTGGATAGAATGTCACCCCACGCCCCTAGCCCTGTGACCAGAATGTCACCCCACGCCCCTAGCCCTGTGGATAGAATGTCACCCCACGCCCCTAGCCCTGTGGATAGAATGTCACCCCACGCCCCTAGCCCTGTGGATAGAATGTCACCCCACGCCCCTAGCCCTGTGGATAGAATGTCACCCCACGCCCCTAGCCCTGTGGATAGAATGTCACCCCACGCCCCTAGCCCTGTGGATAGAATGTCACCCCACGCCCCTAGCCCTGTGGATAGAATGTCACCCCACGCCCCTAGCCCTGTGACCAGAATGTCACCCCACGCCCCTAGCCCTGTGACCAGAATGTCACCCCACGCCCCTAGCCCTGTGACCAGAATGTCACCCCACGCCCCTAGCCCTGTGACCAGAATGTCACCCCACGCCCCTAGCCCTGTGGACAAGAATGTCCCACCATGCTCCTGGCCCCTGTTGAACCTGTATGATGACTTGCTGAACCTTTATGATGACTTATTCGACTTCTATATGATGACTTGCCGAGCTCAAAGCTGTAACCATTCGTTCCGGATAATTAGAATTCTCGAAGAAATGTTTTCGGTCTAAATTTTTTGCTTTATTTACGATCTTACATTGAAATTGTTGTTCAGTTTAGCTTATTACGTTACATTTTTTGACTTATTCAATATCTTACAAGGAAATTTATCTTATTTATTATGTTATATAAAGTTTTCTGTCTCATTCAGCATCTTTATTTACGTTTTCTGTTGTTTTCAGCGTCTTACATTACGTTTTCTGTCGTATTTAGCGTCTTAATTTACGTTTTCTGTTGTATTTAGCGTCTTAATTACGTTTTCTGTTGTATTTGGCGTCTTAATTTACGTTTTCTGTTGCATTTGGCATCTTAATTTACGTTTTCTGTTGTATTTAGCATCTTAAGTTACGTTTTCTGTCGTATTGAGCATCTTAAGTTACGTTTTCTGTCGTATTCGGCATCTTACATTACGTTTTCTGTCGTATTCGGCATCTTAAGTTACATTTTCTGTCGTATTTGGCATCTTAATTTACATTTTCTGTCGTATTTGGCATTTTACATTACGTTTTCTGTCGTATTTGGCATCTTAAGTTACATTTTCTGTCGTATTCGGCATTTTACATTACGTTTTCTGTCGTATTCGGCATTTTACATTACGTTTTCTGTCGTATTCAGCGTCTTACAAGTGTGCATAAGATCTGTTCTGATGCTACTTGGCGCTGGGGCTGGTTTTGCAACCTTGAGCCTATCCTGGTACTCAAGGTGAATTAGTTCAGGTGTTATTTTGGTCAACGTGAGTCTTACCTTTTTTCTGCAATATTGCAGCCTTGAGGAGATGAAGGTATCGTGATAATATAATGTATTCTATATAGGGGGGGGGGAGGAATTATGGAAAGGGTTTTGGCAAAGATTGAATGTAACTATATGTTGTGGGTGGGTGTAGCAACTTTCAAATGTTTCCTGAATGTTGTGGGTGGGTGTAGCAACTTTCAAATGTTTCTTGAATGTTGTGGGTGTGTGTAGCAACTTTCAAATGTTTCCTGAATGTTGTGGGTGTAGCAACTTTCAAATGTTTCTTGAATGTTGTGGGTGGGTGTAGCTACTTTCAAATGTTTCCTGAATGTTGTGGGTGGTGTAGCAACTTTCAAATGTGTCTTGAATGTTGTGGTTGTGTGTGTGTTTGGCAAAGATTGAATGTAACCATAATGTAATGTTCTAGCAACTTTTCAAATGTTTCCTGAATGTTGTGATTAGGTTTTGTGTGTGTTTGGCTGTCAGTGATTGGAGCTTGTTTGTGTATAGGTGAAAATCTTATTTGTATTGATTGCTTTCGAAGATGGTTTGACTATTAGTCAAAGGTCATCACTCATTGGTCATAATCACTCCTTGCTGATCAGATATATAATGGCCTGAGCCGATATTATTTTGAATCACCACAGCTTAAATAGTCTATAAGGATTTTGGGACCAAAATCTGTAGCATGCAAAACATCACTAAGAAAGCATTTTTAATAATTAAGTTTCGTTAAAAAAGACCAAGGGTTTTTTTTCCCTTTTTTGGTGTTAAATTACACTTTCATTAAAAGTATATTGTCAGTGGTACGTATATTTGGTGCCTAATATATAGTGTTAGAAATTAAGGAAGAGGATTGTTAACTTTGCAATGAGGACTTTCACTAAAATTTTAATGCATTTGCAGATTGATAAAATATTCCCAAAAGTACCTAAAGTATTTTTCCATTACTATTTTCCTTGCTGGTGCATTTTCTCCATCCCATGTTTGTTATTAGTGAAACATTGAGAAATTCGTACAGACTGCACATATCTTGAGGTTATCTTGAGATGATTTCGGGGCTTTTTAGTGTCCCCGCGCCCCGGTCCTCGACCAGGCCTCCACCACCAGGAAGCAGCCCGTGACAGCTGACTAACACCCAGGTACCTGTTTTACTGCTAGGTAACAGGGGGCATAGGGTGAAAGAAACTCTGCCCATTGTTTCTCGCCGGTGCCTGGGATCGAACCCAGGACCACAGGATCACAAGACCAGCGTGCTGTCCGCGCGGCCGACCGGCTCCCCCCACATGGCGATAGGAAATATTATTTCTGCCACATTGAGGAATTCGTACACAGCTTTATACTAGAAGAAACATCTATTTTTAACAATTGAGAAATTCATACACAAGGAGAGATTTGTTTCTCATGGTTCCACGTTCTTAATTTTTGGTTCTTGTAACGGTGCTTAAGGAACCGGAAGATGATGTTAGCTACGATTTATATAGATTCACTATCATCATCTAAGATGGTATTAAGACCTGTTAGATCTTAGTGCTGCTTTATAACAGTGAGTGTTCACTGTTGGGTGGAACTGTTCACTGTTGGGTGGAACTGTTCATTGTTGGGTGGAACTGTTCACTGTTGGGTGGAACTGTTCACTGTTGGGTGGAACTGTTCACTGTTGGGTGGAACTGTTCACTGTTGGGTGGTACTGTTCACTGTTGGGTGGAACTGTTCACTGTTGGGTGGAACTGTTTACTGTTGGGTGGTACAGTTCACTGTTGGGTGGAACTGTTCACTGTTGGGTGGAACTGTTCACTGTTGGGTGGAACTGTTCATTGTTGGGTGTAACTGTTCACTGTTGGGTGGAACTGTTCACTGTTGGGTGGAACTGTTCAATGTTGGGTGGAACTGTTCACTGTTGGGTGGTACTGTTCACTGTTGGGTGGAACTGTTCACTGTTGGGTGGAACTGTTTACTGTTGGGTGGTACAGTTCACTGTTGGGTGGAACTGTTCACTGTTGGGTGGCACTGTTCACTGTTGGGTGGCACTGTTCATTGTTGGGTGGAACTGTTCACTGTTGGGTGGAACTGTTCACTGTTGGGTGGAACTGTTCACTGTTGGGTGGAACTGTTCATTGTTGGGTGGAACTGTTTACTGTTGGGTGGAACTGTTCACTGTTGGGTAGAACTGTTCACTGTTGGGTAGAACTGTTCATTGTTGGGTGGAACTGTTCACTGTTGGGTGGAACAGTTCACTGTTGGGTGGAACTGTTCACTGTTGGGTGGAACTGTTCACTGTTGGGTGGAACTGTTCACTGTTGGGTGGAACTGTTCACTGTTGGGTGGAACTGTTCACTGTTGGGTGGAACTGTTCACTGTGGGATGGAAGGTAAAATAAGAATGAGGAACAAACGCTAAGACTATAGAACACATGGAAGGGATATGAGACAGACTAAAAGCTGAGGGGAGGTAAGGTAATTCTGTGGAGAATGTTCGAAGGCCGAATGATTACATATCACCACACACCACATACCACACACCACATACCACACACCACATACCACACACCACACACCACATACCACACACCACACACCACATACCACATACCACACACCACACACCACACACACACACACACACACACACACCACATACCACACACCACACACCACATACCACATACCACACACCACACACCACATACCACACACCACACACCACACACCACATACCATACACCACATACCACACACCACACACCACATACCACATACCACACACCACATACCACACACCACACACCACATACCACACACCACATACCACACACCACATACCACACACCACATACCACACACCACACACCACACACCACATACCACACACCACATACCACACACCACACACCACATACCACACACCACACACCACACACCACATACCACACACCACACACCACACACACTCCCTTCTACAAGCTCAGCCTCCAGCTGCTCTCCTGAGCCTGAAGATCGTCCTCAATGATGCTCTGACCCTCTCCCGTGTCATGAAGATGCTTACCCACCCATTGAGATGAGCTTGTACAAGCCAAACGAGAAAAAACACACACACTCGGGTACAAACACAATCATCTCTCACTCGTGTTTGCCCTAGCAAAATGTTCTCTAACTAAAGGTGTTTAGAAGCGCGTACTGAGCGTACCTGTTTGCTCAGTGAAATATCCAGGAATGTTCCTCTGTGTGTGTGTGTTTTTTTTTACAGGTAAAACACCATTAATTACGTATGAAAACAGGAGAGTCCTTTGTGTTCCGTTTGCCCAATCTGTACTCCGTTAACTCAGTGTGTTTCACAATAAACACAGCTTGTCCACACGGCTTTCAGGCGAGAATTGAGAGTAGTAACGTCCTCGCCAGACGACCAAACAAAGGTGTATAAAGCAGAAGCGACTGGCAATATTAGCTCGACCCAGAGGTTTATGTTGACATGGGTGACCCCCCTCTTACACCCCCACTATCCCCCCCCCCAACCCACACACAAACATACTCCATTCCTCGACTTGAGAATGGTCCAGGACGGAGCGAAACGTCGTCGTCCCTTCATTTTCTAGTGTGTGGATTGGTCAATATATTTCATTCCTCGTTTCTTTCATCCTCTATCTTCCTATCCATGTTCTCTCCCTCTCGCTATTCCTCACCTTTATCCATCTCTATAATCCATCGTTTCTATACCTCCTCCTCTTTCTCAAATTTACAAACAGTCGCAGATTTAACACAAGAAACAAACAAAGGTGCAAACACACACAAGATCTATCAAAGAACAAACAACAAACTAGATCTCTATATCACCTTAAGAGGCTACGGGGGTATTATATACTCGGTATAGTGTCTTTAAAAGTATTTGCTGTTCCTTAACATTTATAAGAAAATGTTGTGTTTGACGCAAAAGGATAGAGTTCGAACCCCGGACAATGGGTTAGAGGACTCACTGGGCACTGGTTATTACCTCTTCCCTAATGGAGCGACCCTAACCTAACCTTAAAGGTTAGTACACCTAACCCAACCTAAATTTATCTTACCTATCCTAACGTAACGGAACCAAACTTAATTTAGCCTACCCTAACCTAACCTAACTTAACCTAACCTAACCTAACCTAACCTAACCTAACTTAACCTAACCTAACCTAACCTAACCTAACCTAACCTAACTTAACCTATCCTAATCTATCCTAACCTAACCTATCCTAACCAAGCCTAACCTAACCTATCCTAACCAAACCAACACCCAACCAATCAAC